TCAATTCCCATTTTGAATTTGATTCCCCATAATTTAATCCTACCCCTCTCCCGAACACCCTAGCATTTACTTCTTTTACAACCCCATCTATATATATATACAGTGGACCCCCGCATACCGTACGCATCGCATACCGTTCAATCCGCATACCGCTCGCTTTTATCGCAAAAATTTTGCCTCGCATACCGCCCAAAAACCCGCTCACCGCTCTTTGTCCGAGACGCATCCAATGTGCGCCCTTAGCCAGCCTCACATGTGCCGCCGGTGGCATTGTTTACCAGCCAGCCTCCGCGGTAACATCCAAGCATACAATCGGAACATTTCGTATTATTACAGTGTTTTTGGTGATTTATCTGGAAAATTAGTGACCATGGGCCCCAAGAAAGCTTCTAGTGCCAGCCCTACAGGAATAAGGGTGAGAATTACTATAGAGATGAAGAAAGAGATCATTGATAAGTATGAAAGTGAAAAGAAATCTACCAGAATCTCAATGACAAGTTTGGATTTCTGTTCAAAATTACTACTATGCCAGATGCAGAATTGAGAGAAGCTGCATTAAAGTTGCAATAACACCTTTCAGCAGATGTTCAGGACACATTTGTTGAAGAAATAGTTCATTTTTCTGGGTATATGAATTAGATTTAAAGCTCCACCTGAAAAATGCGCGCCCTCAGCTGCTTTGAAACATTTAAGAAATGCAGGTATCTCAGAAACCTTCCCTAATGTTGACATAGTGTATCGCCTTTACCTAACACTTCCAGCTACTAACTGTGAAGGAGAACGTTCATTTTCTGTTTTGAAAAGAGTGAAAAACCAGCTCCGTTCAACAATGAGCCAAGACAAATTGTGTAACCTAACCTTGTTGACCATTGAGTCTGATCTAACAAGAAATATTGATTTTCAGAATATAATTGATGATTTTGCCAATATGAAATCCAGAGAAAAGTTTATTTAAGAAGTGCCTGTGAATATAAACAATTCTTTACTTTCTTGAGTTTATATGATTTGATAGTCTTATGCATGATGCAATGATAACAATAATGGTCAGTGATTTATAAAGGGAATAATAGTGCTGTAGTGGTTATGCTGAATATAATAGGTACATGATGTCACTACTTTAATAGCCTAATCTAGTAATACTATGCTGTCTTGAGTTTATTCTCTTTAAAATGCATGATTTAACAAGATAGTTATAATGGCTGTTGGTAAATGGTTTTGGTTGTCTTGATGTACTTTCCCTATTAATTTAATCTACATAGCCAGAATGTATTTAATTAGACCTTAAACAGGCTCACACCGACCCCCCCCCACCCCCAAGCTGGAAGGGGTCGCTTCGCTTACCCGTAACTGATAGGGGCCCCGCCAATCTGAATAGCCTAGGGCCCGGAGACTTCTTAATCCGGCCCTGAATATAATGCAGAGAATTCGTAGTTTGAAAGTTAGGAGGAGGTGCGGGATTACCAAAACTGTTGTCCAGAGGGCTGAGGAAGGGTTGTTGAGGTGGTTCGGACATGTAGAGAGAATGGAGCGAAACAGAATGACTTCAAGAGTGTATCAGTCTGTAGTGGAAGGAAGGCGGGGTAGGGGTCGGCCTAGGAAAGGTTGGAGGGAGGGGGTAAAGGAGGTTTTGTGTGTGAGGGGCTTGGACTTCCAGCAGGCATGCGTGAGCGTGTTTGATAGGAGTGAATGGAGACAAATGGTTTTTAATACTTGACGTGCTGTTGGAGTGTGAACAAAGTAACATTTATGAAGGGGTTCAGGGAAACCGGCAGGCCGGACTTGAGTCCTGGAGATGGGAAGTACAGTGCCTGCACTCTGAAGGAGGGGTGTTAATGTTGCAGTTTAAAAACTGTAGTGTAAAGCAGCCTTCTGGCAAGACAGTGATGGAGTGAATGATGGTGAAAGTTTTTCTTTTTCGGGCCACCCTGCCTTGTGGGAATCGGCCAGTGTGATAATAATAATAATAATAATAATAATAATAATAATAAATATATATATAATATATATATATATATATATATATATAATATATATATATAAATATATATATATATAAATATATATATATAATATATATATATATATATATATATATAATATTATATATATACAGTGGACCCCCACATACCGCACGCATCGCATACCGTACAATCCGCATACCGCTCTCTTTTTTCGCAAAAATTTTGCCTCACATACCCGCCCAAAAACCCGCTCACCGCTCTTCGTCCGAGACGCGTCCAATGTGCGCCCTTAGCCAGCCTCACATGTGCCGCCGGTGGCATTGTTTACCAGCCAGCCTCCGCTGTAACATCCAAGCATACAATCGGAACATTTCGTATTATTACAGTGTTTTTGGTGATTTTTTCTGGAAAATAAGTGACCATGGGCCCCAAGAAAGCTTCTAGTGCCAACCCTACAGCAATAAGGGTGAGAATTACTATAGAGATGAAGAAAAAGATCATTGATAAGTATGAAAGTGGAGTGCGTGTCTCCGAGCTGGTCAGGTTGTATAATAAACCCCAATCAACCATCGCTACTATTGGTGGTACAGCTGCTGCTGCTGCTGCTGTAGCACCGTTGTTGGTGTGGCTTATAGAGAATACCAAGAAACAATTAACCCCAGAGGATTTGCCACCCAGGATAACCCAAAAAAGTCAGTGTCATCGAAGACTGTCTAACTTATTTCCATTGGGGTCCTTAATCTTGTCTCCCAGGATGCAACCCACACCAGTCGACTAACACCCAGGTGAACAGGGAAAAATGCCTGGAACTAGTGCTCATATTGGTGAATTTAAAGCCAGCAAAGGTTGGTTTGAGAGATTTAAGAATCGTAGTGCATACACAGTGTGATAAGGCCTGTTCTGGAAGAAAATGCCAAACAGGACCTACAGTACTCAGGAGGAAAAGGCACTCCCAGGACACAGTGTCTCATCAGTCATTGCTGCATCTTCAATAAAGGTAAGTGTCATTTATTCTTCATTTAGTAGAGTAGTACATGTATCCTTCTCTTTGTGTGTAGGAAAATGTATATTTCATGTGGTAAAATTTTTTTTTTCATACTTTTGGGTGTCTTGCACAGATTAATTTGATTTCCATTATTTCTTATGGGGAAAATTCATTCGCATACCGAACATTTCGCATAACAATCAGCCCTCTTGCACGGATTAAAGTCGCTATGCGGGGGTCCACTGTACACACACACACACACACAAACAAAACGACCACTGTGAAAGACTAGAGAAATTCCAAGCGCTTTCGTGACTACTCACATTATCAAGGAACTATGAAAGTAAAGCATCCAAGGAAGGTATATAAGGGGTCTGGCCAACACCTCACTATCAGATCCCACAACAGTTATTTATTTATTTATTTATTTATTTATATATACTGCTTTCTGCCCGTCTTGTGGCATAAAAGCTTGTTTCACGCTGTCCTCGAAGTGGATCCAAGCGTGGCACTTTGACAGTATTGGCCTTGTACATAACAGTAAGGCCACCCACCTCCCTCCTGTGTTGAAGGCTCTGCTGAAATGACAGATCTATCCAGGATGGGTCCAGGCGAGAGATGAGACATCTTGCTCTGTTCTCTACTCTGTCAAGCAGTCGCAGATGAGAGGGGGGCAGGCAAACCAAAAAAGTGGAGCATACTCTAAGGTGTGAGCCTACTTGTGCCTCGTACAGAATCTTGCAACTCTTACTCTCAAGCAGATGCAAGATACGGCGAAGTGCTGTAAGCTTCCTGGCTGCCTTGTTTGCAAGATTTACAACATGGTTCTTCATGGTTAGTTTGGAGTCAAATTTCACCCCAAGGATATCAACTTCTTCTCCAGGTGCCAACACCCTCCCATTCATCCTTACTACTGCACCAGCATTACCATCATGGTGCCTAGAGACCATCATCATTTGTATTTTCTCAGGTGCAAATGTTACTTGCCATCTATTTCCCCAAGCTGATATAGCTCTCAGCTGGTGATTGATGTAGCTTAGAGCAGCTGGCATTTCTTCTCTTGGATAAGTGAATGTCAGTGTGCAGTCGTCTGCATATGCATGTGATTCTGGGATGAGATGAAGGAGGTCGTTGAAGTAGACATTCCATAACAATGGTCCCAGCACGCTTCCTTGTGGAACACTTGCCCCAATAGGATGTCTTGCTGATTTTGTTCCATTGAGAACTACCCTTAGAGATCTACCATGAAGGTAATCACTGAGGAGAAATAGCGTAGAGCCTGCAATTCCCCATGCTTGAAGTTTTGCTAAGACGCCCTGGTGCCACACCCAGTCGAAAGCACCAGCAATGTCCAGTGCTACCACACAGCTGACTTCGGATTCATCCAGTAACTGGTGCCACTTAGTGGAGAGGTTTAACAACAGATCAGCAGCAGAGTAACCTTTCCTGAAGCCATATTGATGATCACAAAGTAGTGAGTGGTAGTCAAAAAACATTGTCATTTGTCTTGAGATTATTGTCTCAAGGATCTTACCAGTGATTGACAGGAGTGACACTGGTCTGTAGTTGCTGATTTCTGCTCTGCTCTTCTTTTTGTGAACAGGGACTACATTTGCCTCTTTCCACAGAGAGGGCCATTTACACTGTACTAGGCAGTGCTGAAAGATGCGAGTTAGAGGTGCTGCTAGCTGGTCTGCACATCTCGGCAAACTTGGGCTCAACTTGTCTGGGCCCACAGCCTTTTCTTGGTCAAGCGATTTAAGAAGGAAAAGCGCCTCCTCCTGCCTTATTGTCACCACTAACAGTTTTGACACAGTTCTTGCAGCTAGCTAAGGAGGGTCCCTTGCTGGATCAGGAACTTGCATTTTGGTAGCAAAGTATTCTTTCCTGCTCTCTTTCTCAGAAATGCCTAATTATTTTATGTTAGTACTAATTATTTATTAAACAATATTTTGTGTTCAGCTTGTTTTTTTTTTTTTTTTAATTTTGTGGAATTATAAAAAAATTTATTGTGTATTTAGTGATAGCCACTTGTGGCACATATTGTTCATCAGGTCCACATTCGTATTGCTTCGCCACCTATTCACCATCCTTGTTACATGGGCATCAACATTCCAACACGAGGAGAACTCATTGCAAACAAGAAGCCCCCAGAAGAACTTGCAAAATTTGTTGGTAAGCATTAAGAACTCGTTTGTCTCGTGTAAAATTCCAACATTTGAGACTGGCTTTTTTACCGTAACATAAATAATCAGCAGCAGCATTGATTAAAAAGTTTAAGTGGTTTCCATCCTATTTTTTTTTGTATCTTTTGGCACTGATTTTCATATTCATGGTGAGAAAGGCATTTGTTGAAAAGGAATAAACAAAACATTTTATAGGTTATACCTAATTTCCTTAATGCATTGAGATCATAGCATTGCAAATATCCACAGCAGTGTTCTGAAATTTTTCAACATGAGATAGTTTAATGGACTCGGGGGCTAAATGCAAAAATTCCGTTTGACTACAACATTAATGTTTCTGAATAAGCGATAATACTGTAGAACACAATATATATTAGCTGTGAACTCCTAAACTATTTAAGGTCAGTTGGGCACTGTGCTTCTCTCATGAATAACATTGGCTGGCAAAATGAGCTCGAAACATACAGATATGAATGAATGTATAAATAATTTACTAAAAAAAGCCCATTACTTCTACAACAAACATTGCCCCCCAAAAAACTAAACAGATCACAGCAAAGAGACTGAATAGTCCCTGGCTAACACCCAGCATCCTCAAATCCATTAACACAAAGCACAAATATGAAAAACAGTATAGAATGGGTCAGATAACTGGAGACCAGTCTAAACGTTACTCGTTAGCTCTTACCAGCCTGATAAGAAGCTCTAAAAAATTGTATTATGAAAATAGATTACAGGTCTCCCTCAACATTCACGTTTTCACACATTCGCGAATTCCCAACCGCCAAATTCCCAGCCACCAAATTCCCAGCCGCCAAATCATATTTAAGTTTCCCGCCACCTGCGAGTCCCTACTACCCTCCCTCCGACCCCCGCAACTGGCAGCCAGCCCTCCCACCACTCAGTGTGGTGAGTGTTTTGTTTGTTCATTATTTGCTATTAAACTACAGTATAAATAATGTAAACCCATTCATGACTGCATATTGGAATGGCTATTCGGACAGGTATTAGACGGTGACATCATGTGTTTACTCTTGAACACTGCAAAGAATTAAACATTTCTGCTACAGCTAATAATAACAATAGTAATAATAATAATAATAATAATAATAATAATAATAATAATAATAATAATAAAAACAATAATAATAATAATAATAATAATAATAATAAATATGATATAATTGAAGAAGGAAATTGTACAAAAATACGAGGGAGTGGTTGACACATCGTCAGTGTGACTGTGTTTATTCTGGAGTAAACATTAGTCTCCCTGCTCTTCCAAACATTTCACAATAATTCATTGTGTTTGGTGCTTGTAGATTGAGTGTGACTGGAGTGGTAGAGGCAGTGATTGAGGCAATGGTATTTAATAACATACATGTTATTAATAATATGTACTATTATTATTTATAACATGTTATTAAATACATACATGTTAATAATAATACATGTTATTAATAATAACAATAATAATAATAACAACTGGCAGCCAGCCCTCCCACCCACCACTCACTCAGTCAGTCAGTCTCCAGCCACTGTGCGAGTCGGTCATTGCTGTTTGTGTGGTGGTGAAAGTATGTCTCATGCCATGCAGTTACACTCCATATAATCATCTCCATTCAACTGTCATCAGCAACTGCATGTAATATCAATAGAGAAATAAAGAATTATAATTTAAATTTTTTTAATCATCACAAGTCATCAGAGTTCGTCTGCCTTACGAGTGGTGAGTGTTTTGTTTGTTCATTATTTATTAAACTACAGTATAAATAATGTCAACTCATTCATGACTGCTAATAATAATAATAATAATAATAATAATAAATACGAGGGTTGAAGCAGTGGGTGGTAGAGGCATCGTCAGTCAGTATGGCTTTGTTTATGCTGGAGTGAGTATTATCCTCTGCGCTCTTCCAAACATTTCACAATAATTCATTGTGTTTGGTACTTGTTAATTGACTGTGACTGCTACATAATTAACCATGGGCCCAAATAAATTTTGGTAAAGAAACTGAGAAGCACGAAAGAATTGAAGAAAGAAATTATATAAAAATACGAGGCAGTGGTGGAGGCAGTACAATATTTTACGATGTTCTCAGGTACGTATTTTATGATTGTTCATGAGAACATAAGAGAGGAGGAACACTGCAGTATACCTGTTGGCCCATACTATTCAGGTCCTTCACAAATCCAGCCCAATAACAGAAAAAATGCTACCCAAGCAATAAGCTTTGAACATTCTATTTACTCGCATGCAAGACCCATTCAAATCCAACCACCTCTCACTTGTGTATTTATCCAACCTAAATGTGAAGCTACCCAAGGTTTTAGCTTTGATAGGACCTTGGGTAGCTTTAAAAAGAGATTGGACAAATATATGAGTGGGAGGAGCATGTACGTATATACATGTATATACATAGATTATTTCATTTTATTATTTTATTATATTTCCCTGCAATATATTGGGGCACCAAACATTCGCGATTTTTCAACATTCACGGGGCTCTTGATCCCCTAACCCCCGCGAAAGTTGAGGGAGACCTGTACATAACATCAAAGGTGATATGAAAAAGACCTGGAAAACTGTATCTGAAATTCTTGGAACTAAAAAGTTAGCCAAAAACAAAACAAAAAACAAATTAACAAAATCAGACGAACCCCTACTCACACCAACTGAAACAGCAAACAGACTCAATGTTTTCTTCTCCACCTTAGGAAAAAATCTAGCGAACAAAATACCAGGCTCAAACACCCGTCATCAGACTACCTCATAGGTTACCCCCCCCCCACCCCCCGACAAGTCGGCCGTCTCCCACCGAGGCAGAGTGACCCATAAAAAGAAAGAAAATCCCCAAAAAGAAAATACTTTCATCATCATTCAACACTTTCACCACACTCACACATTATCACTGTTTTTGCAGAGGTGCTCAGAATACAACAGTTTAGAAGCATATACGTATAAAGATACACAACATATCCCTCCAAACTGCCAATATCCCAAACCCCTCCTTATTTAAAGTGCAGGCATTGTACTTCCCATTTCCAGGACTCAAGTCCAACTATATGAAAATAACCGGTTTCCCTGAATCCCTTCACTAAATACGTATTACCCTGCTCACACTCCAACAGATCGTCAGGTCCCAAGTACCATTCGTCTCCATTCACTCCTATCTAACACGCTCACGCACGCTTGCTGGAAGTCCAAGCCCCTCGCCCTACCCAAATACGCCATTCCTAGCTCCAACCAACCGACCAGAAGTCTCACTCATCATAAACACCCTTAAAAACAAGGCAGGAGACATAAACAACTTGCCTGCTTTTATGTACAAAAAAGCTTCTCAAGTATTGTCACCAATTATTGCAACACTCTTTAACAAATCCACTGAATCATCTACTTTCCCAACAATCCTCAAAATAGCGAGGGCCACTCCGATCCATAAAGGTGGTGACCAAGCTGACTTGAATAACTAGAGACTAATATCTAACTTACCACTGCTCTCTAAAATCTTTTAAAAATTAATTCATAGATGGATCTATTCCTACCTAGTCTCACACAACATATTAAACCCTTGTCAGTTTGGATTCAGGAATAATAAAAGCACAAATGATGCTATCATACACATGCTAAAACTAATATATACCGCACTTGATAAGAAAGAAGTCCCTCTGGGCATTTTCGTTGATTTACGTAAAGCTTTTCATATAATCGACCATGAACTGCTGTACTCTAAATTAACACACTATGGTATCAGAGGCTACTCCCTCAACTACCTAAAGGGAGGATCTGATTGAAACATATCAACTTCTTTATTTTTCAACCGATTACATTCATTTTTGGTGTACTATTAGAAGCTTATATCGAGTATCCTGTGCTGAAGTTTCAAACATATCGGCCAAAAAGGAAATGAAATATGCAAAATTTACAAGAAATTGCATTTGGCAGCGGAGCTGTACTCAGTGGTACTTGGAAAAGTGGTTTTGACACTTGCTGCTGATAGAACACCTCTAATTCCATCAATGTACGTGTACCAATTCTAAAATAAACCTTATCTTCATGCTAAAAAAAAATAGTTTCATAACTTTTTTGACATATTGGAAGATGTCGGTCTTGTTGCCCACATAAATCTAAAAATATTTGGGATAGTTCAGAAAGGAACACTTTACCTTGTAAAGCAATCATTTTTCTATGTTTGTTGTGAAAATCAAGTCAATTCAATCATAAATAAAGATGGATTGGCCCTAAATAGGTAAATAACTTACTTTCGAGATATAGGTCGAAGCGCGCAGCACCCCAGGTGCCCGGGAAATATTTTTTTTCCCCGAAAAATTCGCTTTATTTTACACTTTTTCCGTGACCTACGAGTGTTCATTACAGTTAACCATTGTAAATCCGTTTTCTCTCATTACATATGAGAGAACGGACCCTTTCTTCACCTTCAGGGAATATATTGATAGAAATTTTTTCCTCTCGGGCATCATATTATGCTATATATTATTTTTTAAGGTGTGCTTTTTATGTTTATATGCTATTATTATATTGCATTATGTCATAATAGATCAATTGTGATAGATAAATAAGCCTTATAATTGATATTAGCGTGGGTATGGAATATTTTGTTGGCTGGAGGTGTCTGCCATTTTATGCAATATACCCAGGGTACCTGATTGGTTACTTGATCATATTATCTCTGCCCACTCTGCCATGATCTCAGATGGTGAATTTGTATTATATTAGACATAAAGATATAAGAAAACGATAAAAATAACACGGGGGGGGAAAAACATAAACAATGCCGCGTCAGCGCTTGTTACGCAATGTGAGGCAAGGCGCTGTCACCATGCCTGTTATAAATGGCTGTAATTCCTTTTAGAAACATTGTACAAGGATAATAATTATACCAGAGTGTAGCCAGAAAGTTCAGCTATTTTTTTGGTAACAATAACTCAATTTTAATATTTTTCGATTTTTTTTTTTTGGTCCACGCGCCGGCACTCAGATCATCCCTAAAGTCACACCTTAGTAGCAGAATTCAATATGTGTACGCAAATGGTGCAAACTCTTCCGTCCAACCAATCACAGTAGGAGTCCCACAGGGAACTGTCCTTGAACCACTCCTGTTTCTCATCTACATCAATGATCTACTGAATGCATCACAGCTACTCAAACCCATATTATTTGCAGATAACACTACATATGTTTTCTCCCACCCAAACCCAGTCATACTCGCCAACACTGTCAATGCCGAATTGCAGAAAATATCTGCCTGGATGACAACTAATAAACTTACCCTGAATACTGATAAAACCTATTTCATTCAGTTTGGAAACAAAGCTGCAAATGTCCCACTTAACATAATGCTAAACAGATCACCAGTCACAAGACTTGCAGAGGGAAAATTCCTAGGTATCCACTTTGACAGTAGCCTTAAGTTCCAGACACATATACAACAAATCACCAAGAAAATCTCTAAGACTGTAGGCATACCATCAAAGATACAGTACTGCGTTCCACAATCAGCTCTCCTGGCACTGTACCATTCACTCATATACCCTTATCTCACATATGGAATTTGTGCATGGGGATCAACAGCATTAAATCACCTAAGACCTTTAATAACTCAGCAAAAGGCAGCAGTCAGAATGATAACAAATTCCCACTCCCGACAGCATACTCCACCAATTTTCAAGTCTAAATCTGCTCACCATTAAGAACATCCATACTTATTCATGTGCCTACTACATACACAGAACAATACATGCAAATATAAACCCTCCACTCAAACTTCTCCTCACCAACCTTAACAGGACACATGACCATAACACGAGACAGATTTCTTTTTGATGTACCCTATGTCCATATCACACCGTGCAAAAACTCTATGCACATAAAGGGCCCCAAAATATGGAATTCATTACCAGAAGATACTAAAGTAACCCAGTCTGAAAATCAATTTAAGACTCTTCTCAAAAGCCACTTAATCACCCTAGACTAAATGCTCAGTACTCACATACTCAATACATATTCCCATATCACAATTTCAACAATTACTTTTGAACCTTTTATCCATTGTTGACAGGAATATAATTGAATCATTGTTTCACAAAAAGCATTTTTGAATATATGAATATATCTTTTGTCATATATAAATTAGATTCACATATAATTAATATTCTACTGTACAACTATGTTGGTGAGGGGCTCTTGATTTAGGGAATTGGATCTGTGCTCCAGTTCCCCGAATTAAGCCTGAATGCCTTCCACATCCCCCCCCTCCCAGGCGCTGTATAATCCTCCGGGTTTAGCGCTTCCCCCTTGATTATAATAATAATAATACTGTACAACTATTGATATAATTAATAATCTACTGTACAACTATGATATAATTCTTAGTGTTAAGTAGTCTGTAAGCCAATAATGTTAAGTCGGCCCATAATGCCTAAGCATAATAGAGGCTCTCTTTGCATTGCAACCCATTATTGTAAATACATAATCTCAATGTACTATTTGCAAAGACAAATAAATAAATAAATAAATAAATAAATTATTGTTATCATTATTATTATTATGGGGAAATGCTAAACTCGTAGGGATTATACAACACCTGGGGGGGGGGAGGGAAGGAAGGCATTCAGGCTTAATTCAGGGAACTAGAGCACAGATCCAATTCCCTAGATCAAGAGCCCCTCACCAGCATCAAGGAACCTCCTTTGATGGGTCTCTGTGATTAGCAGACAGAAGTTTGAGGCTCCTTGCTTTGGGCTGAATGACTCCCACAGGTTTAGTGCTTCATGTAAACAAGACTACATGAAATAATGTTACACATTATACTGTAATTGCAATATTAAATGCAGATGTTTTATTTTATTGTTATGTTTTCAGGAGCAGATAGCTTGGCATACCTAAGTATTGATGGTCTGGTGAAGGCAGTGAAGGACGGTGTGGTTAGTAAAACGTGTACACCATCAGGCCATTGTACCGCTTGTCTTGATGGAAAGTATCCTGTGCACCTTGAATGGTAGCACCAATCATGGGCGTAAATTTATAATATATGTTTGTTACTGCTGATGACTTTTAACTAGCTGTAGAATTGATTTTTTTAATGAAAGTTCTGTTTTTCTGCTAACTTTATGTATTTTGTATATAATTGATGGATATCAAATAGTAGGTACATGAATTTCCAATTTTATATTGTCCTTAGTTCATGACATACATAATATCTGCCTCTAAACGAGTGTTATATATGAGCACATTCTTGAATGTGTACTTAAGCAGGATGAACTTAACAATTTTTCACCATAGTTTACTATGTTTTGGGCCATCTAGACCATTGTCAAGTCATTGCAGAGTGAGAAACATCAGAGATCAGAAGATGGACTGGGGAAATGGAGGGAAAAGGAGTGGGAGAAGCATTTCTAGAGGAGGAAGAGTAGGAAGTGGCAGCAGCATGTAGTAGCAATGTTGGTAATACGTAATGGTACATAAGAATAAAAGAAGAGAGTAGCACTGCAGTAGGACTACTGGCTCTGCTAGGAAAGAAAAAGGTGAAAGACAAAGGAAGAACGTAAGACAGGTCAAGAGAAAAGGTGAACTATTCCAGCCACGTTACCATGACATTTATTTGTTATCTCTGTTAGTATTTTACCATTATGAGGTTCAATTTAAGCCAGAATTTCATACTATTGCAAAATTTAACTGTGTTTTTTTCTGTTAAGATTAAGTTTATTCCTAACTACAGAATTACGAAGTTAGAAAATGGTGTGACAGCATGAAAGCAGAAATTTAATGGAATAAGATTAGTTAAGAAGGGTGTATACATTTGGGAGTGTCCAAGGGAAGAGTTAAAGCGTTATTGAGACTGTATTCTACTTGGAGCAAACTGCCTTCAGCAATAAGTTATATGATGTATCCTGGGTCCTCTCGTTTTACAAGAGATCCAAACCCACAGGTAAATATCCTGCAATTAGTGAGGGTTTACTGTATTTAAAATAAACTTACTCACTGTCACTAACCTTGAATCTCAGTCACCTTGATTCTCACTCACCTTCACTCAAAAGCAACTAGGAATATCCCAGGTTACCCAGTAGTAGGACTAAGAATAACAGTTGGCTCAATAAACCATTTTACTTAATAGGTCATATATAAGTAAATAAATATTGTTTTGTGAAAAAATTTAAATCTGTACTCTCCAGGAAATCAGTTGCATTACAACAATAATAGTTACACAGAAAACAAAAAAATTATTCTTTAGATTAGTGCTGTCTTGATCCTGTGTATGTTACAGTACCTATAACATCACTGGCAGTGTCAATCAAGTTTACAGCAGATGTACTATCAGTCTAGGTAATTTCACTCCTGGCATTTAAACTCCTAGTAATTTTACTTCCTATATAAAGCAGTTGAATTCGAATAGTTTTGAAATCTATCCTAAAATGACTTAAGCCAATCTAACGTAATGTAACTCAACCTAAGTATATATGATAGTTTTAATGCTTTAAAAAATAGTTCAAATAAAATGTTATAAATTTTTATGTTTTAAAGTGATTAAAATAAATATTTCATGTTTTTAAGACTTTCATGTAGGGAATGAAATTACCGAGAACAGAGTAGACCAAGAGTCAAGTGGCACCTAGCTGTTAGACTCAGTGCTAGTATTTTGAAACAAGTCTCCAAGTTCTTTATTCACTTTTCTCACTTGGTACACTACACTAATATATGCAAGGTGGTATATACAGTTAGTTTTTGCATCTGCTATAGACTTGTGGATGGAGGGGGAGAGAAAATTTCAGACCTTTATTCTAAAACCTGCATTACCCACAGTCATTTAAAACAATACTGTAACTTGATAAAAATATATTTTAGTGTTAAATTATAAAATTAAGAAATTCACAAAATATTGGTATAAAAAGGAAAATAATTAAATAAGCAGGGAAGCCATGGTTACCAATCTTGGTGTTATGATATGAATAAAACCCTTCCTGACTACAAGGAGAGAACAGCCAACATATTTAATCACACAATAGGCAAGCCATAAAAGTTACAGGCCAGTGTGGTCTCCACTGGACTATACCAGCCTAATAAGATATATCCAACTATATTCTATGGACCAGTGGATAGCACATTGGCCTGTGAGTTTTACAACTCTCTTGTCATAGGCTTGAGCCCCACCCATTTTGCAATTTGTTTGGAATCGCGTTTATACGATTTTGCGAGTCGCAGCCAGCATACTTGCATTTGTCAGTAGGAAAGTGCATACTGTTATGCATCTGAGCTGGTTGCTTGTGATAGTCCATGGACAGATATATTATCTGGATGATCAAATGTAGTGTTGAGGATATGTGCTCTGTACCAAAATATTTGTGTATAAATGCATGAAACAGTTTGCAGTAGTATATCCTCAACATGCCAAACCCATGTGGTAAGCAGTTCACAAACTACAGATAGTATATTAGGTACTGTTTGCTGCATATAATCAAACAATGATAGTCACTCATTGTAAATAAAAACACAATGTAATACTGAAGATGAGATAGTTTTAAAATTACTGTACCATCTCAGTCTTAAAATTTATACTAAAAATAAAATGGTATAATGAAAATCCCACTGTAAAAACAGTTAAATAATTTTATAATTTTTTTTTCTTCAACAAGTTGGCTTTCTCCCACCGATATACATGTATATATATGTATGTATGTATGTATGTATATATATATATATATATATAATATATATATACACACCTACCTACCATCCGACTTACGACCGAGTTCGGTTCCGAGAAACCGGTCGTAAGTCGAACTTTACTACTGAATATCAACAAAACATTTTTGTAATGACTTTATTTTATTGTTTTATTTTGGTATTTCATGTTTTACTTTACTTTTTATGCTGTTAGTACTGTATTTTATACTGTAAGGTTTAGGATAAACACTGTGTACAACACAAATAGTTGTTTATTTCCCAGAAATTTGGCATAAAAAACACGGTTGTAAGTCGGATGGTAGGTGTGTGTATATATATATATATATAGCTGGACTTGAGTACTGCAAATGGGAAGTACAATGACTGCACTTTAAAGGAGGGGTTTGGGATATTGGCAGCTTGGAGGGATATGTTGTGTATCTTTATATGTACAGTATATGCTTCTAAACTGTTGTGTTCTGGGCACCTCTACAAAAACAGTGATTATGTATGAGTGAGGTGAAAGTGTTGAATGATGATGAAAGTATTTTCTTTTTGGGTCACCCTGCCTCGGTGGGAAACGGCTGACTTGTTATCACAAAGATACAGCAGAAAGTAAAACAACATAGGTAACTCAGAGGTACATCTCGAATACTTCGTCCAGCTCCCCGGCGGTGGGCAGTGCTGTATAGCCCTTGTGGCTTAGCGCTTCTTTTTGATTATAATAATAATCCCCAGCAGTGGGCTGCGTGCCCAGAATGCTGCAGGCATTTCCTCTCTGGATTGCAACACTGAGTCTCTGAAAGAGGAAGCTGGTTGCCCTGTGGTCCTTGGTTTCTATGATGAGCTTTTCACCCAGCTCTTTGAGGAACTTTAGAGCACACTTGCCCCATGCTCCAAGGGTCTCCGACCCTATTGGGATGAAGTTATAGCAAGGGGGAAGGTCTTCATATTTGCGGATCTTCTGGGTCTCCCTGTGGCTGGCCGCTTCACCCATAGGCATATGCATGCATGCATGCATGCATGCATGCATGCATGCACGCGCGCAATAAGATCACAGTAAACAGGTGATTTCAGAATATGCAAAACAACCACTGTGAAAGAATAATGAAATTCCAAGCGCTTTCATAACTACTCACATTATCATTATATACACACACATACATACAGTACACTACATTAGTTTTGTATAAAAAAAATCAACATTCCAGCTTGATTGTATTTCCCTGTAAAGTTGTTTGCACACAAACTTTCCAGAATATAGTCAAGACAGGTAAGTAAAGCACACAGTGATACTTCTGTCATGCTTATTTTTAAGTTGATCAAATAAGCAAACTGCCTCAAAAATAATTCTTCCAAATGTCTCATGTTTTGCTAGGTATGTTTAGTGAATTAACATGATGGAGCATACATGTTTTGAATTTTGAACTAAAATTAATTTACCAACTTTGTCTAAGCTTGGTGAAATTAATGTAATTTAGCATAAGCAAACCAAACCTATCTTAGGTCAACCTAAATTTAATATTTTCTTATATACGTCAATGAATGCATTAATTTTGTGATGCTCAGAAAGATTTTTGAGGAGTCACACTTAAATGTACACTTGGCTGTTTGGAAAAATGATCATCGCTTTATAAGCTAAGAGCACTCATTTGCGGCATCGATACCCTTACTGTTCCAACAGTTCATAAATTTTAATCCACTTGTGCAAGTTTTGTCCAAGTACTGTATTTTTAATGAAACCAACACCACTACTTTTTATAAACTACCAATATAACAAGTTTGTTCACTAAAATATTGTACAGTAACTAGATATTATGTGTATCTTAAAACAAAAATTAATTGCCCAAAATGCTGTGCATATTATGGGCTTCACAGGACATACCTTCATCCAATCTAAGGTTTAAATTCACATTACACGTAATCTATTCTTTGAGGAATAAAATTGTTAAACTACTGCTATTAATATCAACTAATGTGCAATTATTTGGAGTCGTCTGACTAAACAGTGCACCGAGTTGGCGGCGTTCTGAAGCTTCTCGTTAATATTATTATTATTATTATAATAATTATTATTATTAATTTAGGGAACTGAAGCTTGCTTATTATTATTATTGCTACAATGGACCCTTGGTTTTCATGTTTAATCCGTTCCAGAGAGACCGGCGAAAACTGAAGCCATTTTCCCCATAAGAAATAATGTAAATCCAATTAATCCATTCCAGGCACCCAGAAATATTAACCAAAAAATTTTTTACCTGTAAGATAGATTTACATGCACAAAAGAATGAACATTCAACATGACACTTACTGTTATTGAAGACTGTTGTTGGTGGATGGAAGACAGGGAGGAGGGGAGAGGGAAGAGAGGTTATTCTTTGGAAGGGGAATCCCCCTCCATAAGGACTCGAGGTACCAAGTCCTTATCCGGGGTCACTTCCCTTCTTTGTTTTTTAATGCCATTAGGACCAGCTTGAGAGTCACTGGACCCGTCGCACAAAATATCCATCCAGATAGGTCTGTTTCTGGCGTCTCTTTAAGATTTGCCTAAAATGGGACATGGCATTGTCATTGTAAAAGTCACCAGCACAGATTGCAACAGCTTTCTCAGGGTGATGTTCCTCCACAAATGAATGCACCCTACTCCACATTGCTCAAATCTCCTTAATCTCTGAAGAAGGCACCTTCTTCAATCTCTCTTCCTCCTCCTCTGAAGCAATTTCCTGAGCTGTGGTCTGTTGCTGCTGCAGATGAAGCTCTTGCAGCTTATCAGTGGTTAGCTCTTGATTGTGGTCCTCCGCCAACTCTTCCACATCCTGGCCACTCACATCCAACACCATGGAATTCCCCAATGCTACAATTGATTGCATAACTGGCATAGGGTTGTCAGGGTCCAAAATCTTTGTTGAGGATACAATCTGGCAACAAATTTCTCCAAGCAGAGTTCATTGCCCTGGAAGTCACTCCTTGCCAAGCCTTATCTATAAGGCTTATGCATTGGAAGATATTGAAGCGATCCCTCCAGAACTCTCTCAGGGTCAATTCACATTCCGAGGTTGTCAGAGCACCTTTGAAACATTGCTTTGGTGTACAGTTTTTTGAAGTTTGCAATGATCTGCTGGTCCATGGGCTGGATGAGAGGAGTGGTATTAGGAGGCAAGAACTTCACTGTTACAAAACTGAATTCCTTTGACAATTGGTCTTCCAAGTCTGGAGGATGAGCAGGAGCATTGTCCATTAACAGGAGGCACTGGAGTGGCAATTTATTATCCAGGAGGTATTTCTTCACACTCAGGCCAAACACTTCATTGAACCATTCCAGGAAAATTTCCCTCGTGACCTATGCCCTACTGTTAGCCTTCCACATCACACACAATTTACTCTTGACGACACTGTTTTTTCTTGAACACACTGGGATTTTCAGAGTGATACACCAGTAAAGGCTTCACTTTGAAATCCCCACTCGCATTACCACACAACAAGAGAGTTAGACTGTCTTTCATAGGCTTGTGTCCTGGGTGTGCCTTTTCCTCCTGCGTGATGTAGGTCCTCTTTGGCATTTTCTTCCAAAACAGGCCTATCTCGTCACTATTGAACACTTGTTGGGGTTGGAATTTTTCAGCCTCTACATACTCTCTGAATTCTCGCATGAATTTTTCAGCCGTATGTTTGTCTGAAGTGGCACCCTCACCATGCCTTACAAAACTGTGTATACCACTTCGCTTCTTGAATTTTTTGAAACAACCTTTGCTGGCCTTAAATTCACCAACATCAGCACATGTTGCAGGCATTTTCTTTGAGATCATCATGCAACTGCCTTGCCTTTTCACAAATTATTGACTGCACAACACTATCTCCCGCTAACTGTTTCTCTTTGATCCACACCAACAGCAATTTCTCCACATCTTCAATTGTTTGGGACCTCTGTTTTGTTATCGCATTCACCCCTTTCACAACATCAGCTTCCATGATTTCTTTTCTCTTCACTACAATGGAGCTGATAGTTGATGGCCCCTTCCTGTACATCCTGCCGAGGTCGGCAGTGCGTATGCCACTATCATATTTTTAAAAGATTTCTTTTTTCATTTCTACGGTGTTCCTCACTTTCTTTATCAAAGGACTGGCACTAGGAGCTTTCTTTGGGACCATGCTTATTTAGCAGTCACACACAATAAACAAGTGCCAAAAATGTTTCGTATGACCTCGCAGGATATGTTCACTTACCGAGAAACTACACGACACTGCCTGAGAATGAGTGTGGGAGGTGGCTGTGCGCGCTGGGCACTGGACAGGTTCTATACCATCGACAAAAACTGAGGAATTTGATGAAAACGGAACCAATATTTTGATGAAAAAACTTGGCAAAAACGGAAGTCAGCGATAACGGAGATCGACGAAAAAGGAGGGTCCACTGTATTATTATTAATTTAGGGAACATTCTCTATTATGTTTTTATACAATATTTCTTAATTATAAATACATTGTTTGTGTTTTCCTTATGAAACTAGTGATCTAGTGCAGTTAGCCTCACAAACACTCCATTTCCAGAAGGGGAAGCATGGAAAGATATGGTCAGTGTGGGAGCGGCAATGGCCGCCACCACTAATCACACAATGGCATATTTTATTCATTCTAGAGTAGTATGTATCATGTTTGTTATTTTTATTGTTTATTATGTCATATTAGATCAAATGTGATAGATAAGTAAGCCGTAGAGTTGATATTAGCATTATATTGAAGTATTCTGTCCTGCTTTCCGAGAGCAGGAATTCAGCTGGAACGGATTAATGGTATTTCAGTTAATTTAAACGAGGAAAATTTATTTGATATATACGAGCAAACCAAGTTATGAGCTAGGTCACGGAACAGATTAAATTTGTAAGTCGAGGCTCCACCATACTAGTGTCTAGACACTTCAAAAGCATAAACCTACCAAGAAAAAATAAATTATTCTAATGAAATATTATAATATACAATCAGTCCTATGCTAGGCACAGACACCGTAAGTCTCTATCATGCTCGCTGCAGTTTGTTTTAGGTTTAACGAAAAGTAAGCCTTGAAATAATTTTATAAAGACTTATAAACCAAGGTCCACTTCAGTGTCCTAAAAGAAGGAACATTACTGTAAAATGGTTGGAAAGGAACTGAATGTGTTGAGACAGCTACTGTGATAGTTTGTGCCAGTTCTTTATAGTATTTTGGTATAAAACCCCAATATATATTGAATAAAATAAATTATGTATATGGTGGCTTAATCATGGTTATGACTGAATGTAAAGTGCTAAACCTATGTGGGTCACTCAGCATTGATAAATGGTCAAGCTGAAGAAAAGGTGGCAAGAGGATTGCTGTATAATTTTGCTTTATTATAACTGAAATCTCATATTTTCATAAATATATTGGTCTTTAATAATGTTATTTTCCATGAATAAAATTACCATTTTACTCTTCTAGAATAAATTACCTTTGTGGGTTTAGCACTTTGTAATAATAATCTAGAATAAATTTCCACAAAATATAAGGTGTAATTACAGTGGACTCTCATAAATTGCACAGGTTAAGATCTTGAAATTGGCACTACCGGGTACTTATGAAATTGCAATTTGGTGTGAATAACACATGAAAAATAGTATTGCATTTTTGACATCTCCCAAAATACCAAACATTTTTGCTTAACCCTTAAACTGTCCAAAAGTAGATCTACGTCCACGTGTGGGGGGGCTCCGAACGTAGATCTACGTTTTTTTTTTTACATGCTTTCAAATGGGGAAAATCAAGGTCAGAGCACTACGCACGTGAACGTAGATCTACATTTGGACAGTTTAAGGGTTAAATTTCTTATTAAATAATAAAAATATAATGCCATTGCTTATCTAGAAACATGCCATGAGAGAGAAAAAATACATGTAACTTTTAACTAGGATAACCCAATAATTTTGATGTGATTTTACACATAGCTAAAAAAGGTTACCTTAAATTCTGATGAAGATATTCAAACAAGGGTAGTGTATCAGCTACTGTCACAATGACATTAAATCATTACCTGTCATTTCTAAGCACTGGAGAGGGACTGAAAGAGTTGCTGACTCATTTCAGTGTGTATTCCTGCCACAGAAACTGGGAAGCAAGGCTCAACATGGTGTGAGGGTGATGGTCCTCAAAACCACCACAACCATAAATATTATTTTAAACAACAGTGTCATGTGGTGAAACTATAAGCTTAAAAAGTGACAAGAAAGAGTTTTATCCTACATTAAATTACTTTTTCTCGTGCTTGGTTTTGATTATAATAATAATCTCTTGTTTGTTGCTACAAAAGTGTGTAGGAATAGGTGATGTAGTCCTTCTGGGCTACAAACCTGGCCAGAAAATTTTCCTTTGTCCTGTAATCAGCTGATGCACTCTCAAAGCTTCAATATACAACTTTCTTATGTAAAACAAGCAAAAGTGTTTAGATTTGTTCTCACTTTCAGTTCCGTGTTCTTTGTCCTTAATTTTGTTGCTATGGAAGTGTGTAGAGGTGGTTGATGTAGCCCTCCTGGCCCACAACCTTATCAGGAAAATTTCCTTGGCACTACATCATAACTTCACACGTACCTTTCTTGTTCAATAAAGTTAACTAATCACCAACATATTCAATAATTGTATAAATATACCTAGAGTGGGAAAACAACTGTTAAAGGCATGGGAATGTAGAATTATGGGTTATTAGTCTTGTGCATGACTCACCACTGCATACCTCACAGCATATATACCTAAATTTAATTAGAAATCATCAGTATCATTTACTTCTCATCTTAATCCCTCCAATATCACTAGAATTACTTTAGGGTGTCATGGTTAATGTCCAGAGACAAGATGGAGTGATGAAAAGATTTAAAATGGAGAGATAAACACAAGAGATTACTGTCAAAGATGCCTCCAGAAGGCAACTGACCACTTTTGTGGGTGTTTACACCAACAAGTGATGCCCCAGGTGCAGAGGGAAAGTATCTCGTCACACATCTGAGTTTTTTAGTGTGCAATTTAATGTTTTGGACACAAAATTTAAATAGTTACAGGTGCACAAATTGAGTCTACTGTATATTGCAAATAGCAATACAAGGAAAGCTCACTTGTTGGAATCAGTGTGTCGAAAGTGGTCAATGCAAGATGCCAATGGAAAAGGATTTAGTGTTGTACATATTAGAACAGAATTTAATTGCAAGACCACTGAGTGACACTGCTGTCAAGGATCCATTGCAAAAATAATAATGGGTCCCAGGACACTTTTTAATGTGCAGATAATAGAATTAAGCCCTGCATCAGGATATTGTGCTCTACTGACAAATGTATACAGTTTGAGTGTTAAATAAATTTGCAGCAGCCATAACACAGACATTAGTTTATTATCTGAACGTAAATCTCTGCAAACATTATTTGACTGCAGCAAAAACTTTAGTTCAGGGCAGTACCTGACAATGCAAGCCTCAGCTTACAGACTTGAATTAAAAAAAAAAAAATTGTTAACCAGTTTGCTTTTCATACTAAAGAACTTAATGCCCAGCCTGACATAAACTCAGTGGTGTCCAAGGCATTGAAGATATTATATAAAATGCTAGACTGTTCTCTTAATTATTTTAACAATTAGAAGAAACTTTAACTGTTTCTTTTCCAAATATACAAACTGCAGAATACTAAAACAGTATAATTAAATTTAAATATTTTCATATTTTATAGAAAACTTGTTTATTTGGGAGTGCAGTTATTGATGTTTCTCATCATTCATATTTAGTAGGTTTTTAAATACATACATATCTGAGCTTAAATCAAATTAAGGTCTGATGTTATTTATCTTTTCAGTGTAAAATACAGTGAAGTCTCAGAGTGATGGATTAATGTGCAGAACGGGGTTGTCCACTTAAACTGCACTGAACTGTCTGATGCAGAGGACTAGGTCCTTTGTATTGATGACACTACTAGACATGTACAAATGCTCCATGGAGCAGATTTAGTCTGCTGCATCACTAAGAGTAAACCGTAACATAGTACAGTAAGTTACCTGGAAATACGAGTTAAAAGTACAATACAGTAAGTTTTTTTTTTAGCTTTCCTAGTATAAAGGTGAGCCTAAACTACATCAATTCCTCGTTAAATTGAAACTCGGAATAACTTTTACCAAGTCAGAGTAGCTGTTAGGCTCCAGGAGTAATATTGTTTGTGGTGCGAGAAACATATGGGTAGACATACACCAGCAATGTATCTTGGGCCATTTTCATATGCTTGCTAGAACCAGCTGATGAACCTTTTTTGCTAGCCTCTACACTAAACTTAAGAATGTATGGTGAAAGTTTATCCTTGCTTTTATGAATATCACCAACACACCAAACTCTGCCTCCTTTATCAGTTCAGGTTCCTGCTTAGAACTCAGATTCACACTCTTGTTGCCTTACAGGCCATTGTTAATAATGCCGTATGTCAAACGTTAGTAAAGTGGTGATAAAATTTGAAAATCCAGGAACACTGAAGATGAAATGACTACAGGGCTCTGCTTACCCTGGAAGAACGAAAACAGGCAGGTCCTGGACGTAGCTACTCAGGCCTGTACTGGACAAACGTGATGCAGCGGACCTGGTCCTCTATATTGATGGGACTACTGAACACCTCCCGTATACGTGATGCAGCAGATGGTGTCCACTGCATCGATGACACTACTGGACACCCCCATACAGTGGGCTCAGAGCCTGTGTGTGTGTATGCGCGCTCGCATGTGTGTGTGCGCGCGTGTGTGCGTGTGCACGTCGCATCTGTACAAGCCATAGTGAAAGCCCTCCATCTGAGAAGGGAAAAATAAAAAAATCCCAGTTTCCAAACTTGCAAGTTATATGACCCACCTCAAGTCCTGCTAATTTCAGATAATGGGTAGATGACTGTACAGTACATCATATCAAAATACAAACATTTAAACAATTTGAATTAACTTGACTAAATGATAAAAAATAAAATAAATTGTTCTATACCAAAAGTTTTGTTACACAAAACTTTCTTTGGAAAAGAAAAAAATTAAGCATCAATTATACATAGAGAATAACTTAAGATTTATCTCTATAACCTCTATCACCAATAAATACAGATACGTATGTATATTACAATAAAAATATTAGCACAAAAAATCACCGGAACGACTTAAGATTTCACAGGACCACAGTTATCAATACTATTTTTACAAACATGGTAAATGGGTTCATAATCTTGGGTATGACAGACACTGACAATAGTGACTGCATATAAAGTAGCACAATACTTAAGAAGCAGCGACTGATGAATGTTTACTAAGGCAGTGCCGATTGACCACACTTTTACGACTAGACCGAAAAGGGCAGAATGAACACGAAAATGGCTTCTCCCCAGAGTGTCTACGACAATGTCTAATGAAGACAGAGTGCCAAGGTGTGGAATAATTGCAATGAACACAGCGATGCATCTTCTTTTCGGAATACATTTGAGTCAAGGATTTTGGAGATCTATTTCTGCGGTGAAACAGCTCATTACTGTTATTCTGTATCATCTGTAATAAAATTCACAAATTCAAATCCATGCAATTTCAGTGAAATAATAAACTTTTTAACTAAATATAACTGAGGAAATTTCCACGAAAAAATTAAGGAAAAAACCTGCAGTTAATTTTGCAAGTGCACTACAGTACGTTTAATCTCATGCTAACAACACTGGTACAAGAACTCTGCCTTACTGAAGGAGTGTTGGTGTTTGACTAGGTATAAAAGAGATCTATAGCAATTAAAACCAAAATACTGTAAACTTCTCAAACAACCTGGATCTCTCATATTTCAATAATACATGAAAAGACCTCAGAATAATCATAATTATCTTCATGCAGAGCACAAACTGCAGATCATTTAGTGCTGCATAGTACAGGGGTGTCTGACATTAACAGTATAGAGGCATTGTTGATGGCAAGTAACAAGAGCAAAAGGGGTAAATTATAGTTGTAAATCAGTTTCATAATCAGAAAGAATCCACATGAAAGGTGACTTCCAGAGAGGGAAGAGTAAACATGTTCGAGCAATGAAGGTCAAAATTCACCCTGTATACTCTAATGAAAAATACAATTTAATAAAAAATATTGGGTTGTCAATACAACCTGATAATTCTCACAATGGTGCATGAGGAGGTCATGTGAATCTGACGCGAAAAGTGAGACAACACAATTTCCTACAACTGGCAATGAAGCGAGGGTGATTACATGTCCTGTTGGTCACTAACCCATATTAATGGCATTACCAGCTCAGCAGTCTCTTGAGTATTGGAAGGCAGTTGAAAAAAGGGTAACTACTTGAGATTCATCCTGGACCTGGGATCAAGAGAGCGTGTAGGCCAGGACAAATTACAACAACAGGATATGTTGAATGTTGAAGACAGAGTAAAACAACTGAATTTAAATCACATTTATAAAATTGCTCACAAGCAGAGTCCAGAAATCTTGCTGCCAAGTTCGTCAAGGCTGGGAATCAATGCAAGTATAGTACTAGGGAAAAGAAACACAATTTTATAGTACCCACAGTAGGTGGTCAGGCTTCAAACACCCTTTATTGTACAGCAATAAAGGAGTGCAATTGACTGCCTGCACATGTCAAAGCCTGTCATAGCAGGAGCCAGTTCAGGAAGAGGGCTAGAAGGTACTTAATGAATGAAGCTACAGAAAGGGAGGAGAATGATTTCTTGTATAGATAACATACACGTACCTATTACTGTGATCTGATCCTTTCTCTAATGTTAATGTAAATAACTCAGTTTACCTTATTCCTAGTATACCTCCTCGTATTGTAACTGTTTTTCACATAGTTGAGGTACTTAGAATTTTTAAACTGTTAAGGTTTAAATAATAAGATATAACAAATACCCCAGTGGAAATAAGTCACTTGGACTTTTTTTTGAGGTTATCCTAGGTAATCTACATATATTTTGCTATGTATGACAATTTATGTAACAGTATTTTTGTGTATCTGTACCTGTATAAACTTACTGGAAGAGACTGGGAGGTCATGAATTTCAGAACATCCAGAGCTCCATGAGGATCAAAGACTCGACAAATAATTAAATTTTTGTCTTTTAAATGTGACATACAGTGTGGAATGTTGGATTAGGAGATGTGAAGACTAAAGCTGAGCCGCTTGCAAAGCGCACCGAGTCCAAAATTACAAAAAAGGATAAGGCAGACACAGTACTTTAGCAAAAATGCATAGAATTCTGCTGTGAAATATAGTAACTAACTGTGGCAACAGTCACTGAATTATATTACCTGGAGTAATCAGCTACTGATCTGGCTAGCAATATCAGTTTGCTTACTCAGTAAGTACTAGTTTAAATACCTTTTGTAACGCACATCATATTTGTAGGACTGCACGTGTAACTATATTATTTGTGTGTTGGTGGAGGAAACTTTTATGTGCATATCATAATCTAAGGTTATGGGAGTGTTCATGACATGGTACTTAGCAGCTCAGTCTCAGACCTGATCAATCTGTAAATTATAGATGAAATTGTTATTTAACTAAACAAAAGTTATTCAATGTAATTTAACCCCTTCAGGGTCCAAGGCAAAAATCTGAAGTGGTGCTCCAGTGTCCAAGAAATTTTGAAAAAAAAAAATATATATTTTTTCTTACAGAATTAAAGAGCATATTTTTGTGAAGGTAATAAGACAAAAAAAAATTCTGATCAGTACTTACCGAGATACAGTGCCAAGAAGTTTGTCGAAAATGATGTGGTGGCAGCAACATCGACGAATTCCACATACGCGCATTACATTATTTTGCGGTTTTTATTGTTTTTTCTTTTCTTTTCCAATTTTTTTCTATTCCTACTAACATTTGGGGCCTGAGAGACCAATACTGTATATAATGTATATATATAAACTCACTGTATTGAACACAATAACCGCACTAAAGTTATTATCATATTATTGTTTACCACTGTTGTTTATTACAATAAACATGCACAAATCTTGTATAATACTAATGTTCTATCATATATTTACATATTTACAATCACTGGACATGGTTTTAGAACTGCTGGAGCTTGTGGAACTCCTTGAAACAAGGCACCATGCACAGAGGCACCTTACATTCCTCACACATAAACCGAGTGTCTTGCGACTTTGTTGCCGTCGTTTTGTTTGTGCACAGACGATGCATCTCTTCTGAGCAAATTTCTTCTGAGTTGAAGGAAGTTGTATTATGAAATGATCACCTTCCCTCCTCAAACGCTTGGGTATATCCTGAGGAATTCGAGGACCGTGTTGTATAGCAGGTGTTCTTACCTGGTACTTCATTATGAGTTGTCTGACAACAGACAAACAAAATTCACCATACGGTGGTCTGTTGCCAGTCTTTATTTGGTACATATTATATGCATTCAGCATTGAAATGTCCATGAGATGGAAGAAAAGTTTCATGTACCACTTGTAACTCTTATGAACGCAGTCAACAAAACCAATCTGCATGTCACATTTGTCAACTAAGCGCATGTTTTGTGTATAATCAATCACTGTCACTGGTTTTCGAATACGTTCATTAGTCACTCGATAAAACTTTGCCAGTCTTGCATTTCTTTAAACGGTGAAGGGTTTTGTCAACAATGTGACATCTCGTTTGTCATGCCACCGTAATCCCATGATGTCATTGGCAGTAAACACCTGCACGTCATCACCACGAGCACCTGCGTTGAGCCTGGGCATATGTTTACAATTAGAACGCACTGTGCCACACACATCTGTCTTGTTCACTCGCATGAAATCACTGAGTAATGGGCTTGTGTACCAGTTATCGGTATATAATGTATCCCCCTTACCAAGAAAAGGGTTTGCCATCATGTTTCTCACTACATCACCTGAGATACCCAATAACATCTTGGTATCTTTCAATGTTTTTACTACCCGTGTATACAACAATATCCAACACCAGGCCACTGTCCAATCACAGAGTAAAAACAGTTTTATACCAAAGCGTTTCCTCTTGCTGGGTATATACTGCTTGAATGACAGTCTACCTTTGAACAAAATCAAAGACTCGTCAATTACAAGATTCTTGAATGGATAAAAGTTATCTGAACTTTTGTTTGAGATACATGAAAACATTTCTAATCTTGTATAACCTGTCACTTCTGTCAGGCCTGGTTTTGTCAGAGAAGTGCAACATACGTAAGAGTAAGATAAACCTGTTCACTGGTATGATTTCACTAAAGACCGGGGTAAGAAATTAGCCAATCTGGGACCAGTATGCTTTTATATTATGCTTAAGACGTGAGGCATAAGCATTATTGTTGCAAAAAGCAAATACATTTCTGCAACAGTCGTCTCTTTCCACCTGTGTAGTCTTGACTGTGGTGATAAGATCGTATTGCCATGGTGTACTCAAAATACTTATTACTTTCCCTGACAATAATTTCCATCAATGGCTGGTCAAAGAATAATTCAAAGAATTCCAGTTCATTGGCCGTGGTTCCAAGGGGACAAGTAGGTAGAATTCCACTTTGAGAGTCATCAAATTGGGATTTTGCTGCCAATCCCACATACGGTTTGCTGGTGGATACTGGACATCATAGGCTGGTTGTGCGGGTGGTTGTGGTGGGCTGGTGGCTGACGCTCCGCTTTGTCCTTGAACTGACGAGTCAGCAGCGTGGGTCCCAGCGTGGCCTGGTGAGTCACGCATGGCGGTGCCACTACCATCACTACTAACACCATCCACTGATGCCTGTGGTCTATCCATGCCAAGTGTAGCCACATCATCCTCACTATCACTACCTAAAACTGGTGTAGGGCCACGGGATGTACTCCGGGATGTACTCCGAGATGTACTCCGTCCCCTGGGCACAGCATAGGGTACACTACCCGAGCGCATGCGGCGGCGAACATACCGACGCTTCACTGGTGAATATGTTTCCTCACTATCACTACTCGAACGATCGTCGAGCGCAATAAAATCACAATCCACGTCACTATCATCATTACTGAAGTCAGAGGCCTGGCCACGCGAAAATATTAGTTTTCTCTTGCGTTGAGGAACAACCGACCGTGAGTCACGAGTGCCCACACCAGAGGTAGAAGGTTGAGGATCGTCAGGGTTTTTTGCACTATTATCGATATCCTGGTCATTCTTTTCGGTCACTAACTGATCAAAGTCGTAGAATTCGTCTTCATTTCCACTTCCATCAGTGTCAGAACTATCAGATAGGAAGAGGAGAGTCCCAATTTTCCGGGGAGTGAGAGCTGACTTGCGACGAGGCATGGTGAACAAGGGTGACTGAGCCGGCGTTCCCACAATGCTATGCAGGCGCCTAGATTTTTTGTTTATGGTGCACACCCACCGCGCAGACCCATTCTCTCACATGTAGGCCTATGAGAGCTCTCGCGCTAAATTTGACGGCGCTAGAATTTTGGCGTAGATCTACGGTTTGGACACTCAACGTAAAGCCGTAGATCTACGGGACGGACCCTGAAAGGGTTAATGTGATTCTATGAATAATATTGTCTTTATTAAATTGTGTCATTGTGTGTTGAATATGTAGAGTATTTAGCTTAAAATAGGAATTATTTTGTAATGGTCATGACAACTGTATTTTGTTTTGATGAGGCTTGGGGTGTGTAAGCTCCCTCCAGTTCTCTCGATCTATGTAAAGTAAAAGGATACAAGTGCAACTAATGTGACATTTTTTTTGTGGCAACGTTTCGCTCTCCAGGAGCTTTGTCAAGATGTAACGGCCTGACAAAGCTCCTGGAGAGCGAAATGTTACCACAATCAAAATGTCACATTAGTTGCACTTGTGTCCTTTTACTTTACATATTGTCGGTAATTATACCAACTTTATTGCAATCTCTTGATCTAGTAATAATGTCAGCAACTGGTGAAAAAGACACAAATGCAGAGAGAAATTTTATTGAAACTTATTGTCATTGTCCACAGAAGCTGTTCATAAGCAAAACAATTCAATATAATTCCTCTCTGCAAATGTTTTTTTTTTCACCTGTAGTGCAGCATGTTGCATGGAGGCTAATGTTGTTTCTAGGTTTCTGTACCAACTGTGTAGTGCACCTGGACAGGGGTTCCTGGGTATGTGATGGCTGTTTTTAAATAATATATTTCTACTATATTCTTCCTCTGTAAGCCATGCGTGTGGTAAGAGGCGACTAAAATGCCGGGAGCAAGGGGCTAGTTACCCCTTCTCCTGTATATACATGTATTACTAAAGTTAAAAAAAAAAAAAAGAAACCTTTGTTTTTCTTTTTGGGCCACCCTGCTTCGGTGGGATACGGCTGGTGCATTGAAAGAAGATATTTCCAGTACAGTAGGGCCCCACTTTACGGTGTTTTGCCTTATAGCGTTCTGCTAATACGGACATTTCAAATTATGACCAAAACTCGCTATACGGCTCTTCCCCATGTACAGTGTATCTTAATGTGGCCAGTGATAAATTCTTTTTGTTATCATACCTGAAATTTGTTATAGTGATATTACAATTTAATTTTGATACCCAGTTTGTTTGCCATTTACCTTTCATTTACCTTTTATTTCACCTGTGGTCTAGCACATCCACTATAGGTGATGCCCATTATCTTTTATTTTTTATTTGCATTACTGTAGTTATTTATACAAACGGTTAAGCTAATGCACTAGCACAGTCAAGATAACATAACTAGAAAGGTAACATGGAGAAACAGCACTCTACAAAGGATTTAGAGCCATTGGTGTGCATAGTAGCAGTATTTGAATGTGACTTAAAGTTATCAAGGAATAGTGAATGCAAAGCAGAGACTATTGATGGAAAGGTAGAAAGGCAGACTTATGCAAGTTTCTGCATTTATGTGAAAACTGGTTATATATAACATAAGGTGTTGTTATTGTACAAGTGCTCCATAATTTTATAAATAAAGTCATCAATTTGTGGGAGCTTTTAGGGAGTGAAGTCATGGTGTGATTATTGTGATAGCATCGCTGGGAGGATGTGCTGGAGTAAGGCTGAGTTAAGTAGTTTTTTTTTTTTTGTAATGTTCAGGCTGCAGGTTGTTTTTGGTAAATCTTTTATTCTCTTAACGAGCCGGCAGACAAGGGAAGAGGTGGTCATAGAGACCCACTATTGCGTATCAGTGAATTTTCCTATGGCTATTTTATATGTGAAATGTAGTGAAGGCAGGTTTTATGCTGTATACTGTATACTGTTATTGATAATATATGTATATTTTTCTAAAAGTGAGTTTATCTGTCCTTCCTAGTAATCAAACCTAAAGTTCTGACCACCTGTTTAATATTTTGTATAGTTTATGGAGCAGGGGGGGGGCTTAGGGTAGCTTATTTTTAAATAACTTTATATATACACCTACACAAAGTATTTTACCCCTCTTTACTTCTATGTTAACTTCGTAACACACTGATCACAGAAACTCCCTTAGGTGAGAAGAAGGAAAGACTGACCACAGGAACTTAATAAGATGGAAGGGAGAAGGGAAAATCTGGACCATGGGAACATCTCAAGGTGAGAGGGAAAAGTATGAGACAAGAGGAGGAAGATGAATTATATAAATGGGACTCTACAAGGATCTGTAGATAGACTGAAGGGAAGTAAATATAATGAATGCAATTTAAACAAACTTTTCTTGTTTTATTAATATCTAACAAAATGCTACAGGGAGTAGTTCCAAAACAATCACAGAAACTAACAAAAGACTGATGACAATGGATGTCTCAGTGATCCCATAATAATGGGATATTAGACTCATCACACATGCTTTTGACCAGGGATAACAAATACCTCTAGATAATGTGGCTGTGGAAACAAGAATATACCTGAACAATATAGTCTAGATTAGATAAGATTAAGGCCAAATGAAGATGAAGTGGCTAATAAGAGGAGAAGCAGACATAATGGGGAAAGATACATAACCATGTGGTAGTTTATGATACTGGTAACCTGAAGCTGTGTAACGTGGCTCAACAGGAATTGTAGTCAATAGTGCTCTATAATGAGGTGGCTGTCTGCCAGCATAATCAGTGGCAAAATTGTATGGGAAGCCAAATCTCACAAGAACTGAAGAGTCAGTTGATGGCACTTAGCAACAGGGGTAGTGCAAGATATCCTTCTTTGTGGCACTTCTACAAAGAAGGATATTGATATAAACACAAAAAACTGTCTGTGAGAAATGGCTTTAGAAAAGTGGTAGAAGGCCTCATAAGATATGATTTCTTCAGGTAGTGTCATAAGCTTTATCTGGTTTGAAAAAGTCATAAATATCAAGATGGAGTAAAGGATCTATGGTGAAACAACCTCTCCTATAACAGAACTGACAGGGAACATAACTGCCTTTAGGAATCACATGTCATTAATCATATGCTTCAGCAACTTTTAAATTAAACAGTAAACTTGCTATATATGTATCTATATCGGGATGAGATGTACCTCAGTACCCCTAGGTTTTAAAAAATCTTGAGGACTACTGCAGTTTTCTACTGGGAGGGGGAAAAAAAAAAACTCCTTCAGACTGAGTCTGAGTGAAGATATGCATGCTTTGGTGAAGGATGTGAATAGTATTACAAGCTCTACAAACAAGCACGTTGTTCAGGCAAAGTGAATTAAAAGTATCTTGGGCAAAATTCTTGTGTTTATAATTGCAAGGCAGCTCCACTAATAGAGGAAGATTAACAAGAGACACTTTGAAGCCTTCTCCACTGGCATGTAAGGAACACAGAAAGAGACAAACCGGTAAGTGGGGCTGGTGGTTTTGCAGGTTCAGGTGGTTGGTGAGCTGATTGTACAACTCTTGCTGGGTATCGCAGCTGTAGCCTTCTAGTCCTAAAAATTCCTCGTAGTCATTACTTGCGTTCTGAAAAATAAAACACTAGTAATATAGTATTTTTTTTTTCAACAAGTCGGCCGTCTCCCACCGAGGCAGGGTGACCCAAAAAGAAATAAAATCCCCAAAAAGAAAATACTTTCATCATTCAACACTTTCACATCGCTCACACATAATCACTGTTTTTGCAGAGGTGCCCAGAATACAACAGCTTAGAAGTATATATGTATAAAAATACACAATATATCCCCCCAAACTGCCAATAATCCAGCAATCAGTTATTTTGTGTCCAGCATTACTGGGTGGCTTTGTTCAAACTGGCACCTAAACAAATACTATTAAAAGGAAGAAATATGCAGCAATAAAGGACCATAAGGAAAATTATGTGATCATCTGTTGCTGAAAATCCAGCTTAATCTTTCTCCTGAGGGTGCTGGATAATCTATAATCTACTGCTAACATCCCATATAAAAAAAATCACTGAAAGGGTTCTAAGAAGCAAGAATGCCAACCACCTAAATACCCATTAATTACACAACCCAGGGTAACATGGGTTTAGAGCAGGTCGCTCCTGCCTGTCCCAACTGCTGGACCACTATGGATGCTTTAGAGCATAAACACAATGCAGATGTAGAATACGCAGACTTTGCGATAGCCTTCAACAAGTGCGACCACGGTGTAATGCTGCACAAAATTCGTGATAAATAAATAACAGAAAAAGTTGGATATAGAACGTCCTAACAAATAGAACACAAAGAATAGTAGTAAACAGAGTAAAGTCTGAGGCGGCTATAGTGAAAAGCTTTGTTTCACAAGGCACAGTACTTGCTCCCATCCTGTTCCTCATCCTCATATCTGACATAGACAGAGATGCCATCCATAGCTCTGTGCCTTCTTTTGTGGATGACACCCGAACTGCCACGAGTGTGTCCTAAATCGAAGACAATGCAAGACTCCAAACGGACATCAACCAAATCTTTAAGTGGGCCGCAAAAAACCATATGAAGTTCAATGAAGAGAAATTTCAACTACTCAGATATGGAAAACCTGAGGAAATTAAAACTATACAACAAATTCTAACCACACAATAGAGTGAAAAACTAATGTGAAGGATCTGGGAGTGATCATGTCAGAGGATCTCACTTTCAAAGATTACAACAATGTATCTACCTCATCTGCCAGAAAAATGATAGGATGGATAATTAGAACCTTCAAAACTAGGGATGCCAAGCCCATGATGATTCTCTTTAAATTGCTTGTTATCTCTAGGCTGGAATACTATTGTACACTAACTGCCCCTTTCAAGGCAGGCAAAATTGCTGACCTGGAGAGTGTACAAAGAACTTTCATGGCACACATAAGTATGATAAAGCACCTAAATTACTGGGAATGGTTGAAGTTCCTTGATTTGTATTCCCTGGAATGCAGGCAAGAAAGATACATGATAATATACACTTGGAAAATCCTAGAGGGATTAGTACTAAACTTGCACACAAAAATCACTCCCTACAAAAGCAAAAGACTCAGAAAGAGATGCAATATTCCCTCAATGAAAAGCAGGGGTGCCACATGTACACTAAGAGACAACACAATAAGTGTTAGGGGTCCAAGACTGTTCAACTGCCTCCCAGCATGCATAAGGGGGATTGCCAACAGATCCCTAGCTGTCTTCAAGAAGGTGCTGGACAGGCACCTAAAGTCAGTACCTGATCAGCCGGGCTGTGGTTCTTATGTCAGTTTACGTGCAGCCAGCAGTAATAGTCTGGTTGATCAAGCCCTGATCCACCACGAGGCCTGGTCACGGACTGGGCCGCAGGGGGTGTTGACCCCGAAACACTCCAAGTACAGTGGACCCTTGACCAACGCTGGCATCATCTAACATTAAATCCGACTAGCGATACATTTTAACGCAAAATTTTTGCCTCTAACTAGCGCTAAAAAACTTGACCAATGAGATTCGTTCCATCCGAGACTCGTCCACTTGTGGCCAGTGTTTACAAGCCAGCCAGCCACCACGGTCCCATCCAAACATACAATCGGAACATTTAATATTATCACAGTGTTTTTAGCGATTGCACCTGCAAAATAAGTCACCATGGGCCCCAAGAAAGCTTCTAGTGCCAACCCTACAGCAAAAAGGGTGAGAATTACTATGGATATGAAGAAAGAGATCATTGCTAAGTATGAAAGTGGAGTGCGTGTCTCCGAGCTGGCCAGGTTGTACACAAAACCCCAATCAACCATCGCTACTATTGTGGCCAAGAAAACGGAAATCAAGGAAGCTGTTTTTGCCAAAGGTGCAACTATGTTTTCGAAACTGAGATCGCAAGTGACAGAAGCTGTTGAGAGACTGTTACTGGTGTGGATAAACGAAAAACAGATAGCGATCATATGTGAAAAGGCTAGGAAGTTGCATGACGATTTAATTAGAAAAATGCCTGCAACTAGTGGTGATGTGAGTGAATTTAAGGCCAGCAAAGGTTGGTTTGAGAGATTTAAGAATCATAGTGGCATACATTGTGTGATAAGGCATGGTGAGGCTGCCAGTTCAGACCAAAAAGCAGCTGAAAAATATGTGCAGGAATTCAAGGAGTACATAGACAGTGAAGAATTGAAACCTGAACAAGTGTTTAATTGCGACGAAACAGGCCTGTTTTGGAAGAAAATGCCAAGCAGGACCTACATTACTCAGGAGGAAAAGGCACTCCCAGGACATAAGCCTATGAAAGACAGGATTACTCTGTTGATGTGTGCTAATGCTAGTGGTGATTGCAAAGTGAAGCCTTTATTGGTGTATCACTCTGAAACTCCCAGAGTGTTGAGGAAAAACAATGTCCTCAAGGACTTGACACCTCAAGTCCTAATGGAATGGGATTTCCCTTCTAAACACTAACACCATCTACACTCTCCCCTCCTCCCATCCCATCAATCATCACCAGATCTTCATTAAAGGTAAGTGTCAATTATTCTATTGTTATTAATCTATTGTTATTGTTGTTATTGTAATTATTCTATTGCATTAAACTTAATATTTCATGTGGTAACATTTTTTTTTTCATACTTTTGAGTGTCTTGCACGGATTAATTTGATTTCCATTATTTCTTATGGGGAAAATTAACTCGACTAACGATAATTTTGACTAACGATGAGCCCTCAGGAACAGATTAATATCGTTGGTCGAGGGTCCACTGTATACTCATGAAACCGTAATAACATGACTGCAAAGAAACCACAGAATGGGTGGGGTTTAATATCATTGGTCGAGGGTCCACTGTATACTCATGAAACCGTAATAACATGACTGCAAAGAAACCACAGAATGGGTGGGGTTCAAACCCATGGCAGGCGAGTCATAAAACTCATAGGCCAGTGTGTTAACCACTGGACCACCTAGCTCTAGTTGGATGAATCCTACTTACTTTCTTTTATAGATGAACTACAGAAGAGGTAAATACAGTACAGGTCTCCCTCAACATTCACGTTTTCAGCTTTCGCGGGCTTCACACATTCGCGAATTCCCAACCACCAAATTCCCAGCCACCAAATTCCCAGCCACCAAATCATATTCAAGTTTCCTGCCACCTGCGAGTCCCTACTACCCTCCCTCCGACCCCCGCAACTGGCAGCCAGTCCTCCCACCACTCAGTGTGGTGAGTGTTTTGTTTGTTCATTATTTGCTATTAAACTACAGTATAAATAATGTAAACACATTCATGACTGCATATTGGAATGGCTATTTGGACAGGTATTGGACGGTGACATCATGTGTTTACTCTTGAACACAGCAAAGAATCAAACATTTCTGCTACTGCTAATAATAACAATAGTAATAATAATAATAATAATAATAATAATAATAATAATAATAATAATAATAATAATAATAATAATAATAATAATAATGCGATATAATTGAAGAAGGAAATTGTACAAAAATACGAGGGAGTGGTTGACACATCGTCAGTGTGGCTTTGTTTATGCTGGAGTGAACATTAGTCTCCCTGCTCTTCCAAACATTTCACAATAATTCATTGTTTGGTGCTTGTAGATTGAGTGTGACTGGAGTGGTTGAGGCAGTGGTAGAGGTGATAGAGGCAGTGGTAGAGACAGTGATAGAGGCAGTGGTAGAGGCAGTGGTAGAGGCAGTGGTAGAGGCAGTGGTAGAGGCAGTGATAGAGGCAGTGGTAGAGGCAGTGATAGAGGCAGTGGTAGAGGCAGCGACAGAGGCAGATATTTACTAACATATATGTTATAAATAATAATAGTACATTATGAATAACATTTATTATTATTATTATAAATGTTATTAATATTAACATGTACTATTATTATTTATAACATACGTATATGTTAGTATATACCACTGCCTCTATCACTGCCTCTATCACTGTCTCTATCACTGTCTCTATCACTGCCTCTATCACTACCTCTATCACTGTCTCTATCACTGCCTCTATCACTGCCTCTATCACTGCCTCTATCACTGCCTCTACCACTGCCTCAACCGCTGAATTATTGTGTATGTTTGGAAGAGCAGGGAGACTAATGTTCACTCCAGCATAAACAAAGCCACACTGACGATGTGTCAACCACTCCCTCGTATTTTTGTACAATTTCCTTCTTCAATTATATCGTATTATTATTATTATTATTATTTTTATTATTATTATTATTATTATTATTACTATTGTTATTATTAGCAGTAGCAGAAATGTTTGATTCTTTGCTGTGTTCAAGAGTAAACACATGATGTCACCGTCCAATACCTGTTCAAATAGCCATTCCAATATGCAGTCATGAATGTGTTTAAATTATTTATACTGTAGTTTAATAGCAAATAATGAACAAACAAAACACTCACCACACTGAGTGGTGGGAGGGCTGGCTGCCAGTTGCGGGGGTCGGAGGGAGGGTAGTAGGTACTTGCATTGGTTGAGGAAGTGGTGGAGGCAGTGGTGGAGTCTGTAGTATTTAATAACATACATGTTATTAAAGCATAACATGTATATATTTAGTACAACTTACGACGTTTTCATGTATTTTATGATTGTTCATGGTTCAACAAGTTAAGCAGTATTTTATTTTCCTACAATATATTGGGGTACCAAACATTCACGGTTTTTCAACATTCGCGAGGCACTTGATCCCCTAACCCTCGCGAATGTTGAGGGACACCTGTATATAGAGCTAAAATAACATTTTTCTGGAATCAGGTAGTACTACACAAGGAAGATTCAAATAAGTTAAAGGTTCCTGATCTGACAGGGTGTGGTACATATGTCTGACTGTGAGCTATGAACAAAAACAGCCAGACTATTCAAGATGACAACTAATAAGCCTCGTTAGTGATTGGGCTGAAAAAAAAGTCATCCCCAAAAATATTTTAAGGTACTTTGAGGCAAGATACAAAAGAGCTAATCTCAAAAATGTGTTACAGTCTAACTAAAAAATAATGGCTTAACAAAAAATGGCTAGAAAGCTATGGAAAAAAAAAAAGATATGTAATCAATATAGAATATGCTGTACACTATAAACCCATCAGATTCGAACAGACCAGAAACCAATGCTGTTTACAGACCAGGTATAAAATTAAGCAAATTGTTTTTGAAAAAATGAGAAAAGCAGGAGGCTCTTTTCTCAATGTAATAAGTAATATAACCACTTTGGATTATATTTAGGGTTTCTGTCAAGAGGATATTGGTTGACACATTTATTTCTGATTAAAATCTCTATACATAAGAACATAAGAAAGAAGGAACACTGCAACAGGCCTACTGACCCATGCGGAGCAGGTCCATGTCCCCCCCCCCCCCGGCTTAGACCAATGACCCACCCCCCGGATTATCCCAATGACCCACCCAGTCTGGTCATCCCCACTCAAGGATGGAGCACTGTTCCAGACCCAGCAGCACAAGCTAGTCAGGTCCAACTCACACCCACCCACACCCACTCATGTATTTATCTAACCTATTTTTAAAACTACACAACATTTTAGCCTCAATAACTGTACTCAGGAGCTCGTTCCACTCATCCACAACTCTATTACCAAACCAGTACTTTCCTATATCCTCCCTGAATCTGAATTTTTCCAACTTGAAACCATTGCTGCGAGTCCTGTCTTGGCTGGAAATTTTCAGCACACTATTTACATCCCCTTTATTTATTCCTGTTTTCCATTTATACACCTCGATCATATCCCCCCTAATTCTACGCCTTTCGAGAGAGTGCAGATTCAGGACCTTCAGTCTATCCTCATAGGGAAGATTTCTGATGCATGGGATCATCTTTGTCATCCTCCTTTGTATGTTTTCCAGAGCATTTATATCCATTCTGTAATACGGTGACCAGAACTGAGCAGCATAGTCTAAATGAGGGCCCAACCAAGGATATATGAGTTGAAGAACAACCTGAGAACTTCTATTATTTATACTTCTAGATATGAAGCCAATAATTCTGTTAGCTTTATTGCGAACACTAATGCACTGTTGTCTTGGTTTTAGGTTACTGCTAACCAGAACTCCTAAATCCTTTTCGCAATCGGTAGTATTAAGATCTACATTATTTAGTTTATATGTGGCATGGTTATTTAACTGTCCAACATTTAGAACTTTGCATTTGTCAATATTAAACTGCATCTGCTACTTCTCCGACCACTGCGTCAGTCTATTCAAATCATCCTGGAGTGCTCTAATGCCCTCATTAGAATGAATTGGACGGCCTATTTTGGTGTCATCAGCAAATTTGCTTATGTCGCTATTTATTCCCTCATCTATGTCGTTTATGTAAATTGTGAACAACAACGGGCTCAACACTGACCCCTGAGGAACACCGCTTGTGACGTGCCCCCATTCTGATTTCTCCCCATTTATGCAAACTCTCTGCTGTCTATTTGTCAGCCATGCCTCTACCCAGGAAAAAATTTCTCCTCCTATTCCGTGAGCCCTAAGTTTCTTCAATAGCCTCTGGTGTGGAACTCTATCGAAAGCCTTACTGAAGTCCATATACACAATATCATATTCATTACCATGATCTACCTCCTCAAACACCTTAGTGAAAAAAGTTAGTAAATTCGTAAGACAGGAACGCCCCTTTGTAAAACCGTGTTGAGAATCATCAATCAATCTGTGCCTGTCAAGATGGCTACGAATTGCTTCAGCAACAAGGAGGGCCCTGCTTATACAGCAGTTTAGATTCTAGGCTACTGCTGTAAAGTGAAACATAACCTATTTTTTTTACTTTTAAATGCATATAAAAGCCTAATAACATGTTTACACAATTATATATTAAGTGAGCAATAGAGCAAGTCCTAAAAATGCATATACAGTATACATATTACTTACCTTAAAAATGTTTTCATACTTAGCTTATAGTGAGTGGTGAATATATTTATTGTAGGAAGCCTGAATAAATGAAGATTAGGTATAAATGAAAACTGCTGTGTTAATGAAATGCTGTAAAACAAAGTGTTGTAAAGCGGGGCCTTCCTGTATTCAATAAAAATATGTCGGACCAACACCTGGTTATTAATGAGGTGTTACATATTACATTCGTTGTTACTCACTTGAGACATCCGGGATGGTCCTGGGTTATGCTGATCTCCAGGTTGAGAAGGCAAGGAACCAACAAATCCTGGGGTATTCTGTGACAAATTTCTTTGATTGACCTCAAGGCTGTCATATTTTAAGAAAGAACCTTGTGTCATCTGATCATCTTGGCCCCCTTCACTTTCCCCTGCTTGTCTGGTGCCATCTGACATAGCATGATAATCTATTTCACTGCTGTATGACAGATGCTGTCTGTCATCAGTGATGTCCAGTATCTCTTCCTTCACATGAACTTCATTAAATATATCCTACAATAAAAAATATTATAGTCATTTATAAGGCTAATAGAATTTTTTGTTTTAGTCTGTCCTTATTTTATTGGTTAGGATCAAGCACATCAGTTAGAACAAATGTCACAATAATGTGGATGAAATAGTTCTCAAGTAACCCATATGTTGCATAAAAACTTTATAACAATTTGGTAGGCCCTATACCACTTATCAAGTTATGACTTCAATCATACCCTACACCTGCACACAGCCTGTGGGAGGACTGGAGAAGGGGGCTGTAATTCTCAGTCTGTGGGATGAGGAGTCTTATAAAGGTAAGATGTCTGTATCACCTTAGTTACTCTTAAATAAAATGACATGCATCTAAATATATTTCAAACAGGTACACAAAAAGTGTGCCTCTTGTTAATAGCTTTCTGAACATTTCCTATGATAAAGGTGAGGAATAGCTTTCTGAACATTTCCTATGATAAAGGTGAGGAAATCAGAAATTAGACATGGGAATAGTATTGTTTCTCTCCCCTCCTTACTGAATGCCAAATCTTCCTCAGCCCCATGATAATGAAAAATAGGGGTAATGGTAAAGATCTTTTCATTTAATTAAAAACTATGCTCTAGTATATCACTCTCCTACCTTGTTCACAGAAAGTGTTCTTCTAACTACTACATTTTTCTTTTTTTATAAAAAATAAACAAAAGTTTCTCTTTTTAAATTTAGTAAAGTATACAGGAGAAGGGGTTACTAGCCCCTTGCTCTCGGCATTTCAGTCGCCTCTTATGACACGCGTTACTTATGGAGGAGAATTCTGTTCCACTTCCCTGTGGAGACAAGAGAAAACAAACAAGAACAAGAACTAGTAAGAAAATAGAAGAAAACCCAGAGGGGTGTGTGTATATATATGCTTGTACATGTATGTGTAGTGTGACCTAAGTGTAAGTAGAAGTAGCAAGACGTACCTGAAGTCTTGCATGATTATCAGACAGAAAAAAGACACCAGCAATCCTACCATCATGTACAACAATTACAGGCTTTAATTTTACACTCACTTGACAGGATGGTAGTACCTCCCTGGGCGGTTGCTGTCTACCAACCTACTACCTAGGATGTGTAGAAGTTTTTTTTTCTTCAACCAGTCGGCCGTCTCCCACCGAGGCAGGGTGACCCAAAAAGAAAGAAAAAATCCTCAAAAAGAAAGTACTTCCATCATCATTCAACACTTTCACCTCACTCATACATAATCACTGTTTTTGCAGAGGTGCCCAGAATACAACAGTTTAGAAGCATATACGTATAAAGATATACAACATATCCTTGCAAACTGCCAATATCCCAAAACCCCTCCTTTAAAGTGCAGAAGTGCTTGAACTAAAAAATTTGCATTAAGATCACTTAAATATCCAGCAACTACTTTGTATGTTTACTCTCAGAGATCATACCCAACATTTAATCTCTGTGAAATCAATACAAAAAGTTGAGAAAGCCTAGGGAATGAATGGATTTAGCAGTTAAAAACAAAAGAGGGGAGTTATTAGATAGGGAGGTGGAAGTATTGGGAAGGTGAAGGGAATATTTTGAGTAACTGTTAAATGTTCCTCCCTGTATTGGACAGGAAGGTATAGCATCTTTTAGGAGTGAGGAAGAGCCAGATGTGAGTGTGGAGAAAGTGTGAGAGACAGTAGGAAAAGTGAAAAGGGGAAAAGCAGCTGTATTTGATGGGATCAAGACAGAAATGTTTAAAGTAAGTGGGGATACAGTTTTGGAGTGGTTGGTGCACTTACTAAATGTATGAAAGGGGGTAAGGTACTTAAGGATTTGGCAGAGCATGCATAATTCCTTGCATAAAGGAAAAGGAAATAAAAGAGAGTGTGTAAGAATTATGGAGGAATAAGCCATACCAGGTAATGTGGTAGAGTTATTAGTGAAAGAATTAAGGGCAAGACAGAAAGCAGGATCAAGGTGAACAAGGTTTTAGGAAGGGTAGGTGATGTGTAGACCAAGTGTTTACATATATGGTAAGTGAATAATATTTAGATAAATGTAAGGAAGTTTTCATTACATTTATGGATTTAAAAAAAAAAGACATATGATATGGTGGATAGGGAAACAATGTGGCAGAAGCTGCAACTGTATGAAATAGATGGTAAGTTGCTTAAAGCAGTTAAATGTTTATGAGGATAGGTGAGGCTCAGGTTAGGGTATGTAGGAGAGAGGAAGATTTTCCAATAAAAGTAGGCCTTAGACAGGGATGTGTGATGTCACTATGGTTGTTGAACACACTATTCATAAATGAGGATGTAAAAGAAGTGGGAGTAGTTAAAGATGCTTTTTGCAGATAATACAGCTCTTTTGGGAGATTTTGAAGAGAAGATGCAAAGGTTGGTAGATGAATTTGGGAGTTAAGAGCAAAGTGAGAAGAGTAACAAAAATTTTAGGTATTGAAAAAATGGATATTTAGATTGGAAGGAGTGAGTATGGAGGGTATGAGAGTGGTCAGATATTTGGGAGTGGACCTGTCGGCAGATGGGACCATGAAAGAAGAGGTGAAGCATAGAAATAAGGAAAAAAAGGTGGGTAGTGCAGTGAGGCATCTGTGGAGACAAAGAACATTATGCTTGGAGGCAAAAATGGGAATGTATCAAAGTACAGTTGTACAAAAACACTTATGAGGGTATGAAGCATGGGTTTTCAACATTGCAGTAAATAACATTGCAGTAAGGAGGAGGCTGGAGGCAGTGGAGATGTCATGTCCTAGGGCAATGTGGTGCAGGGCTACTAAAAGTATTAACTAGAAGGCTCTGGAGGGATTATTGAGATGGTATGGACATTTAGAGAGGCTGGAGCAAAAATAGAATGACTTAGGGGAAATACATATCTGTAGTGGAGGGAAGTAGTGGTAGAGGTCATCCTAGGAAAGGTTGGAGGGAAGGGGATAAGAAGTTTTGTATACAAGGGGCTTGGACATCCAATAGGCATGTGTGTTAAAATGGTATAAAATACCGACAGGTTGTTAGGTAAGACACATATGCAACAGTTAGGTATCTTTATTATGAAACGTTTCGCCTACACAGTAGGCTTCTTCAGTCAAGTACAGAAAAGTTGATAGAAGCAGAAGATACTTGAAGATGATGTAATCAGTCCATCACCCTTAAAGTTTTGAGGTGGTCAGTCCCTCAGTCTGGAGAAGAGCATTGTTCCATAGTATGAAACAATATGGAGAAGAAGTGACAGGATGGAGCTTTTTATAGCGCCAAGAGGTGAGACATAGGCCACTAGGAGAGGTAAGAACTCAGATGTTGAGAGGTCAGGTCCCTCTCAAATCCAGCCCCTCTCACTAATGGAAGTTGTCGAAGTTGATTGCAGGTCTGTACCAAGATACCCTTGTGTTGCAGTGTCTGACAGATTGAACATTAAAATGGTATAAAATACCGACAGGTTGTTAGGTAAGACACATATACAACAGTTAGGTATCTTTATTATGAAACGTTTTGCCTACACAGTAGGCTTCTTCAGTCAAGTACAGAAAAGTTGATAGAAGCAGAAGATACTTGAAGACGATGTAATCAGTCCATCACCCTTAAAGTTTTGAGGTGGTCAGTCCCTCAGTCTGGAGAAGAGCATTGTTCCATAGTATAAAACAATATGGAGAAGAAGTGACAGGATGGAGCTTTTTATAGCGCCAAGAGGTGAGACGTAGGCCACTAGGAGAGGTAAGAACTCAGATGTTGAGAGGTCAGGTCCCTCTCAAATCCAGCCCCTCTCACTAATGGAAGTTGTCGAAGTTGATTGCAGGTCTGTACCAAGATACCCTTGTGTTGCAGTGTCTGACAGATTGAACATTAAAATGGTATAAAATACCGACAGGTTGTTAGGTAAGACACATATGCAACAGTTAGGTATCTTTATTATGAAACGTTTCGCCTACACAGTAGGCTTCTTCAGTCAAGTCATAATAAAGATACCTAACTGTTGCATATGTGTCTTACCTAACAACCTGTCGGTATTTTATACCATTTTAATGTTCAATCTGTCAGACACTGCAACACAAGGGTATCTTGGTACAGACCTGCAATCAACTTCGACAACTGCCATTAGTGAGAGGGGCTGGATTTGAGAGGGACCTGACCTCTCAACATCTGAGTTCTTACCTCTCCTAGGGGCCTACGTCTCACCTCTTGGCGCTATAAAAAGCTCCATCCTGTCACTTCTTCTCCATATTGTTTCATACTATGGAACAATGCTCTTCTCCAGACTGAGGGACTGACCACCTCAAAACTTTAAGGGTGATGGACTGATTACATCGTCTTCAAGTATCTTCTGCTTCTATCAACTTTTCTGTACTTGACTGAAGAAGCCTACTGTGTAGGCGAAACGTTTCATAATAAAGATACCTAACTGTTGCATATGTGTCTTACCTAACAGGCATGTGTGTGCATGTTAGATAGGAGTGAGTGGAGGCAATGTGTTGCTGGAGTGTGAGCAAGGTAATATTTATGAATGGATTCAAGGAAAACTGGTTAGCCAGATGTGAGTCATGGAGGTGGAAAGTACTACTGTGCCTGCACTCTGAAAAAGGGGTGGAGATATTACAGATTGAAGGGGAATCTGAGCTGCAATGTTGTTGCACCTCTCCCAAGACAATGATAGAGTGAGTGATGGTGAAAGTGTTTCTTCATTTTCAGATCACCCTACATCAGTGGGAGACAGCTGGTGTGTTTAAAAAAAAAAAAAAAAAAAAAGATACAGGTGTATTTCTCTATTATTTCCCTCTATGATTTGTTTATGACTGCAGTACTAGCTTGTGTTCAATATTTTTTTATTAATACCTTAAGCTTACATTTACTCTAATACACTTTAACTGCACTTGCATAATTTTTGTTATCGAAGTATTTTTCACATACAGCAAGACATTACTCAGTGCAAACAATAACATAACCATCTTTAACTACAATGTCAGATCCTTGAGCAAACATTATGATGGCCTCACAGCATTACTCAATTCCCTTCATTCCAATATATC